AGCAATATTGCTGCAGTCTCCACCGGCCTAAGGGGCAAGAGCTAGATAGACTTTTGAGCAGATGTAGCAAAACAACCGAACTCAAACGCTGCTCCAACCAGCGTGTTGAGATTCAGCGTTTTGGAACATAAACGCCACTCCACCAAGCTCATTACCAAACGACTTTTGAGTTCAGCGGTTTGACCAAAATTAAAACGCCGATTTAGTTGAAACACCAAAAATTAACGCATCCGCAGTTCCCCAAAATGGGCTGAAACCCGCGGTTGGCCCGTTCAAACCCATTTATTGATGGGTTAAGGTTGAGAATTTCTGACCCATTTAGTTCGCGGGTTTCGCGTGTCAACCCACACGAGTTGCGGGTTTAAGTGGGCTGCCCCTCCAGGTTGCGGGTTGGCCCGCGGGCCAAAATACAAAAGTTCAATTTTGAATTTTACTATCTTAAATATTGTTCTTTTACCACCAATATTATTATAATTAGAATTAAAAAATTACAACAATGGAAAAACAATATTTATTTCTATAATAAATATTCAAATAAAATGTTGAAACGTATATTTAATGTGAAGTTCAATGCAATATTTAACAATTATTAGTCATTATTTACAAATAATCAATCAAGAGGTTTATGTATATCTTTATTTTTATACAATGAGTATTTTTGCCGCATACCCACTTATAGTTTTCAAATTCTCGTATAACTAGTATTTAATATTTTTTTTAATTAAACTTAACAAGTATTGAATTTTTAGTATTTTGATTTCTTATATTTCCTTGGTTAATACTTACTAATATAAATATAAACTTCCGGGTAATTAACTAATTATTTTTAAAGATTTTTTCATTATATATTTTTTGACATTGACCCGCGGGCCAACCCGTTTAACCCACGGGTTTGATGGGTTGGGTTAGGGTTGTAGAAATTCAGGCCCGTCATTAAATGAGTTGGCCCGACCCAACCCACATAAAGCAGAACCCGTTATGGGTCGGGTTGGATCGGGTTGGCCCGTTTGACAACGCTAACCCCGACCCCGACCCCGACCCCACGTACCCACTACCTCCATTCTCGTACCATTACCCCACCTCCACCTTCTTCCCTCATGCTGAATCTATGAATATCTCAGTTCGAATTTCTACTCTTCTTTTAGCCTAGATCATTACAGATTCAAGAAGCATCTTTTATGGCATAGTAACACCTTGACGGCAAGTTCCAGTTGCAGGCTCGATTATCATCTCGTATCAGTGAGAATCTTAGAGCCAGAGAAACTGATTATGGTTTGGTGACAGGGATCTACACATCCGTAAGAGTAGAGTTTTTCAGGGAGCGCTGTTGGGGTGGTCTGTGATTGGTGTTCATCTCAGTTGCGTCCGCGTGTTGAAATATATGGCCGTCTTTCTTCTTTTAGAATCGAAAACAAGCTATTTTGCTTCGATTATTCTTTGCCACATTAAGTGGAACGGAAAACGCACGATATCCTTTAGTGTAGATAGCGCTAAATGGCTACAGAACTCATTCATCACATTTAATCTACGGCATCCTGGGAATTTGTGAGGTATGAGCCTTTTTGCGACCTTCATCTTTCATTTTGGTAAAATTGTTTCCATAAGCTGACTCAATTAGTAATGTATTTTTTTGAATGCTACGTTTTAGTGATTATGTGCCCATTTTATCAGTAATGGTGTATGCTTATCAAGTTTATGTTGCTTCTCTTGAGCTAAGATAATTGATTGGCAGAACGTGAGGGTGAAAGTTGGGTAAATTTAGGTAACAAGTCCTTATTGAATTCTAAAGTTTGCGCGCGAGAACATATTATTGAGGATGGCTTCGTTTGCTTTCACTACAAACAAAATTTTCTTACTACTGAACGAATTCTCCAACAGGCATTAAAAAGTATTTTAGGTTTTGCACCTTAAATACTGCACAGATTTGCAATTCTCTAATACTTATTTTCACATGTTGGCCAATGAAACTCTATGGTTTTACAACAAGTATTTGGATAAACCAATTTGAAGAACTTCTAAGTACTGGAATTCTGATTTATCCAAAGTATGCATCTAACCCCATTATGTTCAATGTGTCCGCTGAAAGAAAGCCCAAAGATCAAAATCCTAATTACATATAGTCATATAGAGCATTAAAGAAGTCCTAACTCCTAATCCACGAATTGGCTCCAAAATTAACCTCTAGATTTGTGTGTCATATGAAGCTGCAAATCCTGGAATCTAACTTAATGTTCCTAAATTTTTAGTTACTTCAAGTGATTTTTTGAGTGCTAACTATTGTCAGCGGAACAGGGAAACTATTGAACCAATTAAGGTATCATTTGACTATTTTTTTCTTTCGAATCACCAATATATTGTTATTAAAAGGTTCGTACTCATAGTATTGGTCATTATGTGCTGCTGTGTTATGGTATAGTCAGCAAGTTTTCATATTCTAATTATGTTTTTTTGGAATTTACAGGATACTGAAATTTTGGAATCGAATGAATGAGGACTAAAGAGGTATTGCCTTTGCACAACCATGAACATGATGAACTTGTAGATTAGAGGCTTCGAGATGCACTCAAAATTACGGAGTATTTTTCTTTTAGGCCTTTGTACTTTTCATGGTGATCACATGAAGACTAGTTTCTATAGTACGGGATTATGGCAGTACTATTGGTTTTTTAATTAATTTTTTGAAATTCCTTGTTAGTTGGTGATTAATATGTCATTTTTTTAATTTGGATATACGATAAAAAAATTTGGATATAATGTTGTATGTTATCTCATTTCTAAAATCAGTGTATGCGAACGCACACACAAAGACACACATACGTCTAGTGTAACACTATTATTAAAAAATGTAACGTGCATATTCAAGGGAACAATATTCCATAAATGTAACGGTATTAGAATAATGTAACAAAGGTCTTAAATTCTAACACTAAACAAAAAAGTAACAAATATATCCAAATGCAACTTTTTAATCAAATGTAACACATTTTCCTTCAAATGTAACACTTTTACGTTGTGGATATATGGTGTTACATTAGGAACTATAAAATGTTTGAATAGGTCAAACGCAACACAAACAAATGTAATAGGTAAAAAGTGTGACATTTGCCTTAAATGTAACACTTTTTGATACTATCGTAATACTTATTGGTGATACATTAGAGCCTTAAATGTAGCAGTGTTTTCTCAATCCTAAAAGATTATAAAATTACAACTATTAATTAAAACGTAACTAAAATTTATGAGAACTCTATTGCTAATTTAGATGTATCGCACGTATTGATTAAAATATATTTTTGTTCTATCCCAACCATTAAAGTCACTTTAATTATCGTGAATTTAGAATAGTAATTTATTTTTTGAATAACTAATGTTTCAACTAAATTTCATTTTTGGTGTACATAAAAAATTAAATTTACTTTTATTTATTTAATAATAATCGAGGATAGACATTGGAAAATTTTAGCATCTTCTTCCGGCTCGGCATGTCTTTATTCATGGATATTTGTACGTAGCGGCCTTGAGAAGGAATCGAGGCAATCAATCAATGTTGTTGTGATCTGTGACAAATTTTGTGATATGTGATGAAGACAGTAAACCAATCAAGTTTGTCTGAGTTGAAGATTGTGATACGTGATGAAAATAGTCAACCAAACAATGTTGTTGCACATGAAAAGGTTTATATAGTAATCTGTAGTCTTCCTTAAAACAATTATGTATGAAAGGTTGTATTTAATTCCGACCATCATTATTTTTAATTTCTTATTGAATGTGTCTTAGCTTCTTATTTCCATCATCTGCAATGTTGTCAAAGACTCGTTAATTTTGTCTTGCAACATACGATTGAATAAAACAAAATGACTCATTGAGTTATTTGCGCTTATTTGTTATGAAACAGTAACCAGTCCATGCAATTTTCGACGCGATTTTCATTATGATCATCCAAGAATTATCTCTCACACTTTAGTACAAGAGTAAGATTGCGTACATCCGACCCCTTTTACCTCACCGTAGGTGACTTTGCTGTACTGGGGTAATTGTGATGATGATGGTTAAACACGTTTTCTTGTTTTATTTATTGTTTTCATTTAATTGATTTACTATTAAGCTTTTTTCACTTTTGAGATAATACATTTAAACTTTTATGTGAATTCTTCACTCCTGTGCAACGCACGAGTGGGGTAACTAGTAACTATAATAATAGTACTAATAATAGTAATATAGTGGATGATATTTAGTCACACAACAATTTAAATTTAAATGATGGAAATGGACGAGGATGCATACATTAACCTCGTTTTGTTTGATTTTGTTCTATAAAGGAAATTTCATAATTATAATAGCAACCCAAATAAATTAGTGTTGGCTCGAAATATTTTTTCTTTATAACATTCAAGATGATTTAATTGTGAGATCTAGTATAAATAATGCTCATAGGATTTGAAATGTAATGATATTTATATTTGTACTTGTGCATTATATTTGTTGAGGTATATTATCCCGGTCCGTTACTGTTCAGGAGCCCAAGGCATCGCCCCAGCTTGGAGCCCGAATGACAAGGTCCATTTCAGCCTATTAGGCATGTTTCGGCCCTTTGGGCCCATTTTGGGCTTACTTGGCCCATTAGGTTAGGTTTCCCCCCTTTCCCTTACCCCTATAAATATGGGGTTTTCCCACATGTTTAGGGATCTTTTTCCTTCTTCCCCAACTCATTTACTCTCACTAGAATAGCTTAGAACTCCATTAATGGGAGCTTCAATAATTCTACTGTGTAATGGTGAGGAGAGTCCTAATGAGAATGAGAGGGCTTGGACATTAGCCTAAAAAGTCCCGTGGTTTTCTCCCTTTCCGGGTTTCCACGTAAAAATAGCTTGTTCATACACATTTATACATATATTTACTATATAGTGTTGAGTTTAATCCAACACGATATAGTAAATATATGTATGAACACTCAGTTTTTACGTGGAAACCCGAAAGGGAGAAAACCACGGGACTTTTTAGGCTAATGTCTAAGCCCTCTCATTCTCATTAGTCTCTCCTCACCATTACATAGTACAAGTATTGAAGCTCCCATTAATGGAGTCTTGCAAGCTATTCTAGAGAGAAGAAATGAGTTGGGGAAGAAGGGAAAAAGTCATCAAAAAGGGATCCCTAAACATGTGGGAAAGCCCCATATTTATAGGGGTAAGGGAAAGGGGGAAACCTAACCTAATGGGCCAAGTAAGCCCAAAATGGGCCCAAAGGGCCGAAACATGCCTAATAGACTGAAATGGACCTTGTCATTCGGGCTCCAAGATGGGGCGATGCCTTGGGCTCCTGAACAGTAACGGACCGGGATAATATACCTCAACACAAGTCCCCCAGTTTCTTGAGTAGTGAGCGTGCGAATCTGCTCGAGAAAGTATACTCTTGCCTACGCTCTTCCTCTGCCTTCCTTATGCATGGCCTCGGCTTTTGGAGCAAAGGCTTAATTCAATGCCTTGGCCTGGGTGCGAGGGATTGGGGCGTTCGGCCCACGGATGCCCGACCCGACTTCCTTTGGACGTTCGACCCTTAGGAACTCGGCCTAGATGTGTCCTTGCTCTTGATGCACGACCCGGTAGCAGACCTCGGAGTCGTCATACAGCGACAATCCTCGGCCTATTCCTAGAGACTTTCGACCTCCAGTTGCTAGGTTGGGTCTCCTCGGGACATTTCTACCTCAACATGCTGAGCCTGGGCATGCTCGGTCTAAGGATGTGTTGCGCGCCTCAATGCCCTTGGCCTCCGGGGTGGGGATGTTCGTCCCCGGGCTTTGGCCTCCGGGTGATGGATGTTCGTCCCCGGGCTTTGGCCTCCGGGTGATGGATGTTCGTCCCCGGGCTTTGGCCTCCGGGTGATGGATGTTCGTCCCCGGGCTTTGGCCTCCGGGTGATGGATTTTCGTCCCCGGGCTTTGGCCTCCGGGTGATGGATGTCCGTCCCCGGGCTTTGGCCTCCGGGGTGAAAGATGCTCGTCCACGGCCCTTGGCTCTTGGGGTGGAAGATGTTCGTCTCCAAGCCCTTGGCCTTTGATGGTCATCTTTAGACGCTCGGCCTCTGAGGAGGAGATGGCCGTCCACGGCCCTTGGCTCTTGGGTTAGAAGATGCTCGTCCCCGGGCCTAGGCCACTGGACGATAGATGATCGTCTTCGGGCCCTCGGCATCCGGGGTGAAAGATGCTCGTCCATGGCCCTTGGCTCTTGGGGTGGAAGATGTCCGTCTCCAAGCCCTTGGCCTTTGGTGGTCTTCTTTAGACGCTCGGCTTCTGGGGTGGAGGATGCTCGTCCCCGGGCCTAGGCCACTGGACGATAGATGATCGTCTTCGGGCCCTCGGCATCCGGGGTGAAAGATGCTCGTCCACGGCCCTTGGCTCTTGATGGTCTTCTTTAGATCCTCGGCCTCCGGGTGGAGGATGCTCGTCCCCAAGCCCTTGGCACCAAGGTTCATTTTGAACATCATCTCTTATCTGACTATGATCTTAATCTGCACAATGAACATAGTAACGCGGCCAAATGGCCAGACAATATGTATATGTGCACACTTTTTTTTTTGTAGGTCGGCTTGGGGCTCTTCCGGGCATGACGGTCGGCCTCGGAGTGAGATGACCTTCGGCCCGGCCCATCACCTAGTTCTTCCGGATATGAGCGTCCACATTGGGGTACAATGACCCTCGACCCGGCTCATCTCCTAATTATTAAATCAAAAACCCGGTGGAAGCTCATCCCCGAGCTTCGCTCAACATTATTTATTTCGGGACATTTTAATCCCTATTAAATAATGGTGAGAGCACATAATGCTTTAAATCACAAGGTAAAAATGATATACTTAGCTATTATGAACCAATTGTGCAGGTTGTTGAAATTTGGCCCATCAAGGAATCTATTGGGAGCTGGGGACGTCCGGCCCATTTGCCCAAAACCAATCCCTATTGGCCTTTATCATTATTGCCGCAGGCTAACAACGAAGGGGACGCACGTCCACGACCGCACGAAACCCGCAGTCCGCCTAATTCATCGCGCGACAACAGTAGGCCGAGCGGTGAATTGTCATCGGTCAGGCGAAGGGTCTGCCCATGGTTGCGAGGTGAGCAAGCATGGGTCTGAAATGAGGTAACTCCGCTTCTTGGGCGAGCTTCCCTGGACGTCTGATCTGGATCGAAGCTGCTCCTGGGGACGAGCGGCCTGGGGGAATAGGCAGCTGTGTGAACCGAGCAAGCGATCTGCAGTAGCATCCTGAGCTGTCCGATGACCGGCGGGCCCACATGTCTTAGACCGGCCGGGCGGCCATTTACGAGTTATTTCCCCGGCCTCCGTAGCTGACTAGCTGTGCAGGGAACGAGCTGCTGCCCGAGCACTGATGAATTGGCGAGTTGGGTGTTCTTGCTATATAGGATGCACGTCTGGTAGCCTGAAGCCGTGGGGTGAGGGGGGACGCTCCGTTTGGGAGAAACTGGTCTCGCTCTATGCCAGAATTCGTTGACCCTTACATACGTGCGTCCGAGCCAAGCCTGGCCTCGGGGCATCATGGCAATCTTCGATCATCAACATCAACCAGAGTAGCTGCAATTGATGAGATGGACCTCCAGTCCGGCCTGCGACCTCTGTTGATGACCTCCAGTCCGGCGTTCTGATTGTCAAAGCTATGTGGGACTGCCTTCCGGCCGGCAGAAATACTCCGACAATTTTCCCCTTCAACCAAGTCCGAGCGGCGACTGATCCGGGGATTCAAGGTGCCGAGCGGCGGGTAGGTACGTCGGGCAGCAAGTTATCTCGAGGGTGCTGAGGTTCAGTCGCCCTTGATCGTAAAACAACATTGTTATTCCCGTTGGACGTTCGTCGGCCAGTTGATTTATGAAGTCCGTGGATTTTTTATGGCGGCAAGCCCGAGTAACACCTGGCGGATACCGGCGAGCCGATCGTGGACGCCGAGCTGAGACTAAATCCAACGAGTGGATGGCAGCACGGCGGAATCCCCAGAGATGGCTGAGCAAATGGACGAGCTAGTAAAGCGTCTCCCTTCGGGCTCCTGGAGTATAGACCGTGCGGCTGAAGAGTAATTTACACCAAAAGTCTTTGGAAAAGAAAGTCAACCATGAGCCCACTTATAATCTACTACCTATGTACTTCTGCCATGCCACGTGCTATCAAGACGTGGTTGGTTGTCCATAATTTACTCAAAAATGGATCTGCCAGCATACTTGCTTTACATTAATGAAGCTTCAGCTCCTTGGTGCGCAAAATAGAGCATGGAACGACTCCAGCGGCTTCTTCCCAGATCTGGACGATCCCGGATCCAAAACTCCAGATTCTTCATCCAATTCCTTCCTCTTTTTTGTTGAACTCAGTAGCTTCTTCCTGCTTTCATCTCCAGAATCTTTTTTTTTGTTGTTGTAATCAATAGTTGTTTCGTATGAAATTTGTGTAGAACACGTGAATCTTTTTGGACAGATTCCCACAGACGGCCCCAGTGTTGAGTTTAATCCAACACGATATAGTAAATATATGTATGAACACTCAGTTTTTACGTGGAAACCCGAAAAGGAGAAAACCACGGGACTTTTTAGGCTAATGTCTAAGCCCTCTCATTCTCATTAGTCTCTCCTCACCATTACATAGTACAAGTATTGAAGCTCCCATTAATAGAGTCTTGCAAGCTATTCTAGAGAGAAGAAATGAGTTGGGGAAGAAGGGAAAAAGTCATCAAAAAGGGATCCCTAAACATGTGGGAAAGACTCATATTTATAGGGGTAAGGGAAAGGGGGAAACCTAACCTAATGGGCCAAGTAAGCCCAAAATGGGCCCAAAGGGCCGAAACATGCCTAATAGACTGAAATGGACCTTGTCATTCGGGCTCCAAGATGGGGCGATGCCTTGGGCTCCTGAACAGTAACGGATCGGGATAATATACCTCAACAATATTCAATATCTATTTTAACTTTTTGAGGACCTTGAACTAAACGTCTTATTCTACTATGGTGACCAGACTTTTATTGACAACAATTTTCATATTTTCTTTACAAACAGAATTAAAAAAATCTTTCATTCTGTTTAGTGTTGAATAAATTAAGTTTGGACTTGATATTTGAAGTCATAAGAGCTTCAAAAACTACTTATTGCTTGTGTTTTGAATTTTCAACTTTTTTGCGTTGTAGAAAGTAAGCTGTATGTGTCATTTTTTCATGGAAAAAAATATATGTTTAGGAACCGATAAAAATAAGAACTGAACCGTTCACTATTGATTTGGTTCCATATTGGTTCTTGAATTGTTAGATAATAACCGAACCGATTCGATTAGTTAAGTTTTTTGTGACGGTTATACTAATTTTGTATAAGAACCGATCCAGGCCTAGTTGAGACTTGAGAGCCCATTCGATAGTATTGAAACTGATTGAATCGTTTCAATATGTTATAATTGGTGCAATTTTGACAACACCATATATTTTATAAATGAAATATAGAAATTTTTATACTCCTTCCGTATTTACATGTTCCATACATTTGCTTTTGGCACAATATTTTAGTATATAATAATGTGGGTAGTGAATAATATAGAAAAAGTAAGATAGAGTGTGTAAAAGTATGAAAAAAAAAGATAAAAATTAGATAACAGGTAGTTGAGTAATGATAGTTGAGTATTTTATAAATGATAAACTTATCAAAAATGGAAGTGTAAGGAACTTTTAAATACATTCTAAAAAGGAAAGTAAAGGGAACTTTTAAATGGTTTGGATTGAAAAAATTTAAAATATATACTTAAAAATATGCGATGTATATTATATAAATGATATATATAAAAAAACATCAAAAAGAGTAAAAATATACGGAGTAGCTATTTATGAAATCCAAAGAATCCAATTAAAAACATAAATCAATTGGAAATAATAACTTAATTTAGTATGACAGTCTCTGGCACGCAGTACTTGGTTGATAGCACCAATGCCACATTGGCACCACACCATAATTACCAAGAATTTTTTTTTAGTCATTTTTATGTAGAGATAATCTCTTAATCATAGATGTCATATTTTTTCCTAACTTAATTATTCTACTAAATAAAAGTAGGGACAAAGAACTATTCTCAAATTCTACCTTCCAACCAACACCGCCCGTTACGCGGTATCCTAACATAAAACAAAAAGAAAGAAAGAAGAGAAATAGTCAAATAACCAAATTCATTATCCGGAGAGGCCAATCCCTGCAAAATACGTGAGATGTCTCTTCATCAGCCCGAAACCCTGACTAATATTATGCCGGTGATGCCTAAAGAAGAAGAGGTTACTACCTCCGAGCCCCAGCAAAAAATGCCAAAGGTTAATACGGACCGACCCTGGTACACCGATTATGGAATTTCAGAAAACGGTGAGGACCGTTATGAAGCAATGGTGAAGTTCATAAATGAATGTGCTGAATGGGCCCATGTGGAGGACGAACATCTAAGGAAGGAACTCAAGCTTTACACCTATCAAGTCAATATGTACGGCCCATACGAGGTCGATGTTTTCCCAGATTGGCCGCTTTTTTCCAAGGTGCATCCCATCGATTTTGAGGGTGACAAGGAATTTGTCGAAGTTGTAAAGACTGGGACTAAATCCGCAATTGCTCTCTACAACCGGGAACATGTAATGAAACACCACCTAATTTAACGGCTTTACTCTTTATAATATTAATAATAATGTTGTATTCTTGGTTCTTTAATTCATCACTTGTTTAATTCACAATTTTCATACCTTGTAGAGCCTAGATGAGAACATCAGTCTTGTGAAGATTGTGAAGGTGAATCTCATCTGTGGGTATGGCAGAAGATTTTATATCACTTTTGATGCTGATGTTTCTATGTCTGGGTTAAGGAAGACCTATCAAGCTGAAGTGCTCAATATCGGAGATTATATTGATGCTATGATGTGCCATATTAAACCTTGATGTATGCTTGAAGTTTGATAATGGGACTGTGTTTACTATGAAAAATGTGAGACATGTTCCTGATTTGCGTCATAACTTGTTTTCTGTTGCTGCTTTTGAGGGTAGTGGGTTAGAGGGTAAATGGGGTAATGGGTGCATGAAAGTTTTGCCCTCGCCGTCGCACGCCGTCGCCGGAGGTCCTGCAGTGCTGCCGCCGTCGGTCCTGGGGTTCCACCATCGGTCCAGAGGGTTCCAGCCGTCCAAGGAGGTCCTGCCAGTCCGGTCCAGACCTGTTGCCGCTGCCTGGGAGATTCTGCCGCCAGTCTGCCGCCGGTTCAGTCCGCTGCCGCCTGTCCAGTCCACTTCCACCGAGTCTACAGCAGCCCACGCTGCCTACGGTAAGTCGGGTAACCCAACCTCGGGCCCCGCTCAGGTAAATTGGCGTTTAACATCCTTGGTGTACCGGAGTGCCACCGGATTTTTTTTCCCCCGTTCCCCGCTGCCCGCTGCTGACCTACGTGGTCTTGGATGCCGGCTGTGTCCGGCCCCTGGTACGTTTACTAATCCTTTGTGTGATTTTTTATTCGTAGTTCATTCATTTTAATTTCAAGTTGAATTGCAATTACTTGTTTGTTTGAATTGTGATTACTTGTTGGTTTGTGATTAATTTTTTCCGGTGAAGAATATTTTGTTTGGATACTCGTTGTCCAAAGTTGTGAATATTTCTTCCGGTTTAAATTTAATCGCGTGTTGGATTTTGATTTTGCTTTTCTGTTGTTTGATTCGTGGATAAACTCTCCGGTTAAGAATATTTGTTTGGATACTTGTTGTCCGAAGTTGGGAATATTTCTGTCCGGATTAGTTTTAAATCTAGTTTCTTTGCTTGTTGATTTAATTCTAGCCTATTTGTGCTTGTACGAAAGAACAAGGAGATTGTACCCCGAGCTTTGTGTTCATTGGTTTTCTCGGCTTGTTCGTGCTAGTTGCTCCGTACAATTGATAGCCCTATAGGTTATAATTAATCATTTATCTGTCTGTTGAGTAAATAAAAATTTTATCTTGCTTGTACGAAAGAACAAGGAGATTGTACCCGAGCCTTGTGTTCATTGGTCTTCTCGGCTTGTTCGTGCTAGTTGCTTCGTACGGTACGAAAGAACAAGGAGATTGTACCCGAGCTTTGTGTTCATTGGTCGTCTCGGCTTGTTCGTGCTAGTTGCTTCGTACTGTTTTTTGCTTGATAATTTTTTATTTACTCTCTTGCGTGTTGTGCTTGCTTTCCGGTTAATATGGCTGTCAATCAATATGGCATGCTTCCATTCAACGGAAAGACAGATTTTGATATCTGGAAACAGAAAATCAAATGCGTGTTGATCCAACAGAAAGTCTATAGAGCAGTGACTGGTCTCTACTTAGACTCTGAGGATGCTGCTAAGCGCGATGAAATGAATGAAACTGCTTGTTCCTCTATATACCTGAACCTTTCTGATTCGGTACTCAGGAAGGTGGGTATTATAGATTCTGCAAAGGCTTTGTGGGACAAGTTAGATAAGACGTATACCGATACTTCTTTGCCTGGTAAATTGTTTTTGCTTGAGAAGTTCTTTAGATTTAGGCTTGATCTGTCTAAGGACATAGATGAGAACCTAGATGTGTTTAACAAGCTTATTCAGAATATTAAGCAAGCCGGTGATAAACACATAGATGACTACACACCCATAGTGTTACTTAATGCCATCCCTGACTCATACAATGACGTCAAATCTGCCATAAAGTATGGTAGAGATGATATCTCGTTGGATGTAGTCGTTAATGGATTAAGGAGTAAGGAGTTAGACCTTAGACACTCGAGGGGTAGTAACAGTCAGTCTAGGGACTCAGGTGAAGCGTTGTTTGTGAGGGGTAGGTCTAAGAGTAGATCTAGAAACCATAAGAAGGGCAACAACGATAAGAACAAAAACAATGACCCGGGGAAGAAGAGAGGTAAGTCTAAGAAGAGAGTGTGCTATAATTGTGGTAATTCTAGTCACTTCATTAAGGATTGTCCCCATCCGAAGAAGTCTGAACATGCTAATGTGGTAGATGATAATAACTTGCATGAAGAAGTTTTTATGATTTGTGATTCTGCCAATTCTGTGTTGAGTAGCATGACTGAAAATGAGTGGTTGATTGACTCTGGTTGTACTTATCATATGACACCTTTTAGATCCCTGTTTTCTTCTTATTATTCTTGCAATGATGGTTTTGTGTCTCTTGCTGATAATAAGAAATGCAAAATTCATGGGGTGGGTGATGTATGCTTGAAGTTTGATAATGGGACTGTGTTTACTATGAAAAATGTGAGACATGTTCCTGATTTGCGTCATAACTTGTTTTCTGTTGCTGCTTTTGAGGGTAGTGGGTTAGAGGGTAAATGGGGTAATGGGTGCATGAAAGTTTTGAAAAATTCCCTTGTTTTGTTTAAGGCAAAAAAGGTGAATAACTTGTATGTGTGCCATGCTCAACCTTTCTGTGATTCTGCTCATGTTGTTAATTCTGATAAATCTGCTTTGTGGCATAATAGATTAGGACACATGAGTAATAGGGGTTTAGAGATTTTGCATAAATCTGGTTGTTTTGGTAAGGATTCTGTGTCCCCCATCCCCTTCTGTGAATCTTGTGTGTTAGGCAAGCAGCATAAGGTTACATTCCCCTCCTCCCCATATCCTAATCCTACTAAGTGTACCTCTGTGTTAGAGTATGTTCATGCTGATGTGTGGGGTCCTGCTAGTGTCTCTACCCACGGGGGTAAGAGATATTTTTTGTCCATCATTGATGATTTTTCTAGGAAGGTGTGGGTCCGTCTCCTTGAGCATAAGTCTGATGTCTTTGTGAAGTTTAGGGAATGGAAAAACCTTGTAGAAAATCAAACTGGTAAGAAGGTCAAAACCATTAGGACAGATAATGGTCTAGAGTTTTGCAATAAGGATATGGACCAATTGTGTGTTGATTGTGGGATTAGAAGGCACAAAACTGTGCCCTATACTCCCCAACAAAATGGGATAGCCGAGAGGATGAATAGGACTGTTCTAGATAAGGTTAGGAGTATGCTTGCCACCGCCGGTTTGTCTAAAAAATTTTGGGGTGAAGCAGTTAACACTGCTGTCTACTTGATTAACCGGTCTCCTTCTGTTCCCTTGGGTGGGAAGTGCCCTGAATCTGTTTTTTCAAACAAACACCTTGATTTGTCTAATCTTAGAGTGTTTGGGTGTGCAGCGTATGTGCACCAACAAGGTGACAAGTTGGATCCTAGGTCTAAGAAAGGAGTCTTCCTAGGTTATCCCGAGGGTGTGAAGGGGTATAGGGTTTGGGATAGGAACCAGGTAGGTTTCAAAGTTGTGGTGAGTAGAAACGTTGTTTTCAATGAATCCGAGTTTCCTTGTCTGGTTAAGTCAGTTCCTGATTCTGAGTCTGATCCTAGTAGTACACCCGTTGATGTGGAGTCCATACCACGTGCTGCTAGCCCTTTGTTTGCTAATCATGATAATGTTGTTTTTCATGATTCTAATTCTTCTGAATTGCATGATTCTGATTCTTCTGAGCATGATACCACCACCACTTCGAGTGAGGTGGAGCATTCTCATGTGCATTCAAATGACAATGAATCGCATGATGAGAGTGCGGATGCTAGTGAGAATGATTTGCATGATTATCAACTTGCTAGAGATAGAAGTAGGAGAGTAATTAGGAGAACTGCTGATAGTATGCCTGATTATGCTTTCCATATGTGTGATACTTCTATGTTTGCTTTCTCTGTGTTTGAGACCCTTGAGCTTAACGAACCTAGAACCTATAGAGAGGCCCTTAAGTCTAATGAGTCCGCTAAATGGCTTTGCGCCATGGAAAGTGAGATGGAGTCACTTAGAGCGAATAAGACTTGGACGTTAGTTCCTAGACCGCCCAATAGTTCCGTTGTTGCCTGTAAGTGGCTATTTAAGGTTAAGGAAGAGTAGCCTCATAACAGTGGTATCAGAGCCTAACGACATTAGATATAAGGCTAGGTTAGTAGCTAAGGGATTTACTCAAAAGGAAGGTGTTGATTATGCTGAAATCTTTGCTCCTGTAGTTAAATTTACTACGATTCGTATGATGCTTGCTCTTGTTGCTCATAATGATTGGGAAATGAAGCAAATGGACGTCACCACTGCATTCTTGCATGGTGATTTAGATAAGAAAATCTATATGTCCCAGCCTGAGGGCTTTGTGGATCCCATGAAGAGTGATCATGTGTGTTTGCTTAGGAAGGCCTTGTACGGCCTGAAGCAGTCCCCGAGGCAGTGGAATATCAAATTTGACCAGTGCATGTCATCTTTGAAATTTCACAAGTCTGAATGCGACCATTGCCTATACTTTAAAAATACTTCTTCTGTGCCTGTATTTTTATTGCTATATGTAGATGATATGCTTATTGTGAGTCCTTCGGGTGACGCCATTAAATGTGTGCAAAAGCGTCTCAGTGAGAACTTTGCTATGAAAGACCTAGGTGATGCCAAAAGGATCCTAGGGATTAACATTGTTAGGGATAGGAGTAAGCGTGTGTTAGTTCTCAATCAGATTTCATACATTGAAAAGATTTTGAGTAAATATAACATGCATTCTGCTACTCCCGTTTCTATTCCGATGGCGTCTCACTTTGTGTTAAGTAAGGATCAGTCTCCCAAGACTGCTCCTGAAATTGCTAAAATGAAATCTGTGCCTTATTCCAATGCTATTGGGTCTGTGATGTATCTCATGGTGAGTACTAGACCCGACATTGCCTATGCTGTTAGTTGCTTGAGTAGGTATATGTCTAATCCTGGTTTAGATCATTGGAATGCTCTTAAGTGGTTGCTTAGGTATTTGAAATCTTCTGTTAATCATGGGTTGGTTTTCACTAGGTGTTCTGAGGGGGTTAAGTTGAGTGGGTATGTGGATTCTAATTTTGCTAATGATAGAGACAATAGGAAATCCACTACCTCTTATGTGTTTACTCTTTGTGGGTCATGCATTAGTTGGAAATCTCAACTTCAACCCATAGTTGCCCTATCCACCACTGAGTCAGAGTATGTGGCCGCTACCGAAGCGTTTAAGGAAGCCATTTGGCTTAAACGTCTCCTGACGGAGATTGGTAGTCTCAAGCAGGATATTTGTGTGTTTTCTGATAGTCAATCTGCTATTCAATTGTGTAAAAACCCTGTTTTTCATGATAGAACTAAGCACATTGATGTTAGATTTCATTTTATACGTGATATTGTGAGTGCAGGTCATATCAAGTTGATTAAAATTCCTTCGGAATTTAATCCTGCTGACATGGGGACTAAATGTCTCTCAGTCGAAAAGTTGATGTCGTGCAAACGCACGTTAAACATTGATTGCGGATAAGTTGCCTGGTGATCTTACCCCTTTGCCTGAATATGTCTTTGTGATTATTCGGGCAATCCAGCGATGATGAGTCTCATGTTTGTTTTAGAGTCATTTTTGACTCTACACCACTATGGTCCAATAAGGTGGAGATTGTGTTAGGTATTGGCCCAACAATTACATAAGCCCAACAACCCCAAAGGAGTACCCGACCCGACCCTTCTCTCTTCCCCGTTGACAGTTCGCATCTCATCTCCCTTGGCCGATCGATTCTTTCCGTTGATGCTTCAATTCATTGCGTATCTCCTTCTATGGTAAGTTACCATTTCTAATACTCGGCACCTCACCTATATATTCGACTCTTCTCTTGTGCGAACTGTTTTTTGGCTGGCCGAGAAAAACCCTTTTCCCAAATCGAACCTCTGCTCCTTTGTGGTGCTCGAACAATCTGAGTTGGCCGGAAATTGTGAGTTGGTTGTTGCCCACAACCTCACCTTGTGATCTAGTGGTGTTCTTTCATCCTTTGTGGGTGAACCCTATGGAGACCTGAGCTGGAACAGAGAAACAACAAACCTGATTATAAAAAACCAAATCCGGTATTCATCTCCTATTTCTGTTCTATATTTCATAAGGTGTTTATGCATTAGGACGCTTTTATGGTTTGTTTCTTAAATAACAGAGAAGTGATCAAGTCCGAACTTTTTGAAAACTTTTTTTGCAAACTTTTATAGTATTAGAAGTTGGATCACAATATATGGCACAAATTTGAGATTCACTAAATGTAACTTTTTTTGCAAACTTTTCTAGTTTTAGCCATTAGATGACAATATATGGCACTAATTTGAGATTCATTAAATGAAACTCACCTTTTTGTTGACTAAATGAACTCTTCGTGCTTGTGAATCAAGCTGTGTTCTTCATAGTTTATGCCCTTCAAGTGGGTGAGTTCCAATGATCCATCATTTGCAATGAGTCAAAGACTCACTCTTTTTTTGAAATAATTACATAAATATGACCAAAATAAAGATGATTTACAAAAGTATAATTATTGACTAGAATAGTAATGAAATCATAGTAATTCATGTTCAAGTTTTGATCTTAAGTTACCACAACACCACATTGTAGTAATGAATAGTCATATTTATGTAAATATGTTTTATTTTAGTAATATTCTTGTAAAAAACCCCTCTTTTTTGGTTTGAGCATACGATGGAATAAAGCAAAATGGGTCACTAAACTGTCTACGCTTCTTTGTTATGAACCTAGTTAGTTAAATGCGGTACGGGAATTAAACGAGGTTTAATACGTACGCGTTTTATTCGGTAACATGAATGAAAAAGACAGTCAAAAATTCGTTGAAAAAACCGTTGACTTTTAAAAAACATGTAAATACGTATACGTGTATAATACATTATCTACTACAAAAATTCGGACGAAGAATACGGGTATTATTTTGAACATCTAAATGATATATTTCATAAAATGACATATATAGTAAAAAAGAAATAAAAGTATACACATATTCAAGTAGCAAATCCCATTACTACATACAAGAATAGTTCACAATTGCATAAGTCGATGACAAAAATAAAAACAGTAATCAAGTCTAGGACATAGTTTTGAAAAATAATGTCAAAAAATCATTATCTTATATGATCATCAAATAATAATACTCAAGTTAAACTCATCATTTTCATTAAGATGACATATGACAAAAGTTGTGTGATTGCTACACTTATTATTGTTTGTGTAAAAGCTTATGCTAAAAAACGTTAGATTTAGAAAAATCTTAATTTTGATATGCCAGCTTAAAAAAACATCAGAAATCTTGTAGTATATTACTACGTAAGTTTTAGTATTTCAGGATGCTAGCTTTAGCCATCATGCAATTAATTTTAGTATTTAATAATTGCACTGTAACAATACAAAAACACGAGATCATAGGGTGGAAGTTTTCATTTTTACTTTTACATGAACTAAATTAAAGTGTTCAATTAGCCCCTTATATAGGAGGTTTTGCCCGGCCGTCGCCAATTGGGGTGGTTCCCGGTGGAATTTTTTGATGAATTTTTTTGAGCATCTTCTTCATTAGTTCATATACCTATTTGACCCTTTAACCAAAGAAAAAAATATTGGTATTAAATCAATGTATTGGTAGCACAATTGAAGGAGAAGCATGCAATTAAGTATCATGATCCACATATAATATATATGCTACAAGCCTACAAATTAACTCATTAATTTTACTATATTATCATTGTATTGACATCAAAATATTTATTGTGCTAACTTTATAATGTAGTATGAATACTCATTTTTTTAAAGAGTATACTCACTTCTTTTAACATAAAATACCCGGCTGTACGGTGTGCACGTTACAGCCGGTTGTGCGGTGTATTTTGCCCGAGTCAGAGGGTAGATTGAGGCATAGAAGATTTGGGGAGAAAACGGGGAAGAATATAAGTATACAAATTTTTTACACAATAAGTTGGAATTGTTTATTATAATTCCATGAACTCTCAGACTACTTTTTTGCTCAAATCTCGCATATTCTCCCTCTATTCAACTGGCCCTTAAATAGGCTTTAAAGAGTTCGGAAAGTTAAATAAAAAAAGCAACCAAAAAAATAAAAAAAAAGAAATACAACAATTCAGAGATTGCAAACCAATAATACATAAGATTTCCAAAGATTTCAAATCTCTGATTGTCATTCACTCATTTGTCTTAAATACTTGTCTGGTTTGTTGGTGTCACTTGCTGGTTTTTAAATTCCTTCTTTTGCGGTGTAATTGACATCCTATGAACGCATCAGCCTACAATTATGTTTGTCTCTAACTTCTCTTCTTATACCTTCAGCTCTTTTGCTCCTCTAAGTCTCAGTCAGGATCTTACAGGAGTTAATCTTGACCTCTTTCTTGTCAGTCGAGTACTTTGAACTATTAATACAACAACAACAACAACAACTTTGAACTATTAATAGGATAAGAAAAGTGTCACTTGTGATTTATGACTTCAAGATGGATGACTTTGTTTTTGGTAATTTGGCATTTGTAATTATGATGATGAAGATTAAGACTGAATAATATTTATCATATTTTGGATGTAATATGTTTATGTAATGTAATGTAGTTTAAAAGGTGTATAAATAGCGGTTGTTCTGCTCTCAGCTACAACATCTTTGTTTTAGGCTGCTACGCTCTACTCTCTGGGATTGACATCACTGCTTCAAAATGCTTTGATCCAAAACATTTTAATTTTGCCTTCAAAATATCAAATGAATTTGTTTTGGTTTTTTCCTCTAGTAGGCCACTGTCTGCCTGGTTCTAATGTGGATCCTCACCCATTTTTACAGGGTAATAATTAAATCATAATTAATAAACTAACAATGACTGCAATGTGTATGAATTGTGGCATGTTAGTAGTTGTATTTGACTATTTGGTGCTATCTATGTAGCCAATAGGTCTGGATAATTGCCCAGCTCTGCAATTAGGGATAATACGTCCGGTTCCTTCGGAGGAAAAAGAGCTGTTTGAAATTGTGGAGGCTTGTACCGATAAAGCAATTGCGTTCTACAATGAGCAACATGTAAATTCAACATATTTTCTCCCTTCATTCAAATTAGTATGGCATATTATTTTAATAGTAATCTTATGTGTACACATCAGTTGCATAACTATATGTTTTATCAATCTGTCTAGAATCAAAGTGACGAGGATATCATATTTGAGAAGATTTTGAATGCTCAGTACAAAATTGATCATGGTAAAACATTTTATATTGCTTTTGATGCGGTTGGTTCTAAATCTGGGCTAAGAAAGACCTATCAAGCTGAAGTGATCTATCGGATATATTACACTAAAGTTGTGATGTGTCAGCTTGATCCTGAAAGTGATGATGAACTATGTCAGGTATTTAACTGCCTTTTGCTCTTAAAAAAGGAAAAATGAATGCTTTAATAGCTGTTGGAAGTTTTTTGGATGCCAGTTATGTTTTTTTCTCTAGGTGGTTATTTTTCGGTCTCTGCATTTTCCCTGAGTGTGGTTTGTTTTCTTGAGTTGGGTTTTGTGTTTTATTACAACTAATAAACGGTGATGATGTTAAGTCCTCACAGTCCAAAGATCCAACACAATCCCTTGAGTTTTCATAGGGCCCAGTTCCTGTCCCAATGGCTAGTTCATTTTTTTTTTTAAATAAAGGGGTGGGGGTGGAGGGGCATACATCCATTAGGAAGGGCTATAAAACAGCTATATAGCTGTTGGGACTTGGGGGTGGGGGTGGGGGTCTAAAAGTCTATAAATATCTAACCATTCTATCCATTTCTTCATTTTCCCCTACAATTCTATATTACTTCTACTCAATCTCTCTACTCAAGATCGAAGAGGAGATCACAGTGGGGAGCGAGAAGGGTGGAGCGATCACAATTGACTGCGAGGAGAGCCAACCCTGCTACTTTGCCTATGGATATATAATAGAAAGTGAGAGGTCAAAGCTGAGCTTACATGAATGTGCTGAATGGGCCCATGTGGAGGACAAAAATCTAAGGAAGGAACTCAAGCTTTACACTTATCAACTCCATACTTACGGCCCATATGAGGTCGATGTTTTCCCAGATTGGCCACTGCTTTCCAAGGTTCATCCTGTCGATTTTGATGGTGATGTGGAATTTGTCGGAGTTGTGAAGACCGGGACTGAATCCGCAATTGCCCTCTACAATCGGGAACATGTAATGTAACACCGCCTAATAACTTCTTTACTCCTATATTATTAATAATCTTGTATTCTTTTCTGTTTAATTTGTCACTTGCTTAATTCACAATTTTTTTACCCTGTAGAGTTCAGATGAGAATATCATTCTTGCGAAGATTGTGAAGGCTAACCTTATCAATGGGTATGGTAGAAGATTTTATATTACTTTTGATGCGGATAATTGTGTGTCTGGGTTAAGGAAGACCTATCAAGCTGAAGTGCTCAATTTGGGAGATTCTATTGATGCTGTGATGTGCCATTTCAAACCTGATTATAAAAAACCAAATCCGGTATTACTCTATTTTTTTTGAAAGCAATTCATCTCTATTTTAAGGTCTTTTTTCTGTTCTGTATTTTATAAGGTGCTTAAGCATAAGCAAGGTAGTCAAAAGCGAGCGCCTGGGTGCTTATGCGCACCAGGCGCAGCGCACATGAGGCTCAGGGACTGAACAATGGCCAGGCGCAGCATCCTGTGTGAAGCGCAGTTTATGCGCAGAAGCGCCAAAGTTGAGAAAAGTGCACACTTAAACCGCCTGGGCTGGGAAAGGCTAATCAGTCTATTTAATAATAATAAGCCCATAGTGATAATAAGATTGATATTACCTAGCAATCACAGATCTCACAGTAATGCAGAAAACAACAATAAGGTAAGAGAACCGAAAGAGAGCTTTTATTTAGACAATAGAACAGTTCACAAATGGATACAGTGTTCTAGGACCTCTAGTATCGTACCTGTGCGATGCACGGGACAAAAGTGTTCACATTTTTAAAAGTGTTCACATTTTTTTATGTGGATATACAAATTAAAATGTTAATATATGTAAAAAAAATTACTTTTGAAAATTGAAATACATGTATGATATGTTAAAAAAAGAAATCTATAAGTTGTTATACTCCCCTACTCCGATCCCATATCGAATGTTATACTCCCTCCGTAGTCTCTGTTAAACATAGGCCTGGGGGCTGGTACCGGTTCGGTTCCTAGGTAAAATATGTGGAACCGTTTGAAAATATGAAATTTTACTAACGGTTCGGTTCTTATAAATTATTTTATAGGACCAATCGAACCGTTCTTAACGGTTCGGTTCTTGTCATTTAACGGTTCCTAGTCTTTGAAAAAATTCTTACAAATCACGACTAATTTTTGTCACAAAGACATTCAACGTTTGAAATTACAATACAAATATGTTGAACGAGTTAAAGAGAATAATAATTTTAAATACTATGGACCTTCCGAGTTCCGACCCGCTGGAGTTTGGACCTAATGAGATGCCTAAGAAGCCTAAGAGATCCGGTTAAAGTGAATAATAGTTTTAAATAGTTATTTTTTTTGAAAATATAGTTTTAAATAGTTAAATAACTAAACTAAAGTAATGAATGTAATATAAATAAATAAGTAAATATACGTTAAAATATACATACCCATAATTAATATATATAATTTTACTAATTATATATAACGGTTCCTGGTAGATATTTTTTTCAGGAACCGAGAACCGAACCGTTAATAAAAAATAGGAACCGAACCATTAACAAATAACTAACAAATGTTGGAACTGAACCGAACCGGGTCATAACGGTTTGGTCCGGTTCGTGATAGAGTATTAATTCTAGAGAGAAGTGAGAGCTAGAGAGAGAAAGTGAGTAATTATATTTCTCAATTTCCAATCCCCTATAATTAGCCCCTTGGGGTCTATTTATAGGTAAAAATGTAGATTTGGGCCCCTAGCCTTGGGCTTAGGAGGCCCATTACAATAATCATGCCTTCTTTGGGCGAAATAAGGCCACTAATGGGCTGTGTACAACACTTAGTACATAAAATAGAAGAATACATTCTGTCCGGCCGAAGTTCGGACGATGCGGTCCATGGACGATGCGGTCCATGGACGATGCGGTCCCTGGACGATGCGGTCCATGGACGATGCGGTCCATGGACGATGCGGTCCATGGACGATGCGGTCCAAATAAATCAGGCGATATCTTCTTTCTTGGACACTGCATGCCTCTGGCCGATGCGGGTGTCCTGCTGGTGCCTTTTTGGGCCATTGAGTATGTGGGCTATGGGGTCCAGGCCCATATACTCTATCAGGAGTCCCCCACTCTCTGAGCTGAGGTGAAGCCGAAGCGAAAGGGAGTACTTGTTCCTTTCTGGCTGGCCGTTGCGTGAGTCTAAGGCGTTTGATGGCCGAAGAGTTCCTGCTTTGATTTTGGATGAGGCGGTTCCCTTATTTGATGTAGATGAAGCGTGCTTGGGAGCTCATAGCCTTGATGCGGGCCGATGCACACTCTGTGGGAGTGCCTTTGAAGTCGAGGCGATGCGCTTTCTCTTTTGTAGATGATGCGATGAATCCTTGGTGGATAAGTTGGCATGCTTTCCTTGTTATCTTGTTGGGGCCGAAGAGCTCCCATTTATCCTTTTGGCCGTAGCGAAGACCTATTTTCATGAGATGAAGATGGTTGATTCTGTTTATGTAGACGATGCGATGCGCACCTTTGATTTGTCATGCAGCCGAAGCGTTTTGACTTGTGAGTTTTTGTTATGGTGAGACGATGCGTTCTTCTCAGTGTACGCAGCCGTTGCGATCCTCTTGTATTGGCGGACGTAGCATTGCTAGCGAATAAGCCGATGCGCGCTGACTTAGTGATTTTATAGCCGGCGCAATCCTTAGTATTTTGATGGCCGATGCGATCTTTTGTTATTGGCCGTTGCGCTCTCTCTTTTTGTAGCCGATACAGTCCCCCAGTCCCCCACTCCTTTGGCCGAAGAGCATCTGAGGCACAAGGGAGTAATGAGCCGATCCGGTACCTATGCGTTGGTCGTGACTCCAACCCTTAGGCGAACCTGTCCAAGGTAACCCTGTGGGAGAACCCTTGGACGAAGGCCGCAATGCCAGGGTTATCATCGACGATGCGCGCACAAGCAGCCGTAGCGGTCTATTTAAGGTTCTTTGGGTTGTTGTGAGGACGTCGAGTTTAGGCCGATGCGTTGCTTATTCGGGAGAATGGGCCGATGCCTTTTCGGGAGCTTTGTAGTAATTGGGCCGTAGTGGTGCTCGGCCGATGCCCTGTTCTTTGTTAAGGCTGAGTTGGGCCGTAGGGGTGCTAGCTTGGGTGATTTTGAATTGGCGCCCCTTGATTGGTTGGAAGAGAGGTGGCCGTTGGTGGAGCCAATGGGATGGCGCCACGTGTAGTGACCGTTTGGAATTTTTCTATAAATACCCCTTCATTCCGAAGCCACCTCCTCATTTGTGCCTTGCTGTTGTCGAATTGCTGCCCAAGTTTTTCTAGAGAGAGAAAATTCTGAGATTTTTCAAGTGTTCATCACGTTCTTCAAATCTTCCAAGGTTAGCTACTTTACTTTTCCTTTGTTTCCTTCATATTTTGCTCCTTAGGGTGTTAGATCTAGTGTTCGTAGGAAAGTCACTTTGATCCGATAAACCACCCTTAGGGATAGGTTTAGGTGTTATGCCGTTCCCTGACGGCCGTAGCGTCCCTTCCCCTATTGATTTGACAGCCTCTCTGGACGAATCAGACTGGCCTTTTGACGAGGACGACGCGTCTCCTCAAGTGGATTTGAACGTCGTGGCGGCTTTTGAGATTGAGATGGAGAATACCGCGGATTACCGCACCTCCGTGGACGAGGAGCGTCTAAGTGCCGATGCGGGTTCTCAACCCTCTGGTGAGGACGAAGCGAGCTCCGAGCCCCGGCTTCGTGAAGATAATGCGGGTGATGCTTCATCGGCCGCCATCCCTTGTCCACCACCAATTTCGTCTGTTCCGGGTGGCGCGTCGTCATCTGGGGTGGTGAAAGGACGTACATCGCGTCGTCGGAAAGGTGTATCCGGCGGGCTTTCTCAATTGGATCTGACGAACCTTTATCTTATAAGGCCGGAGAGCACCCAGAGCGAATACCAGGTGGCGCAGTTGTACGTCGGCCCCTATGGAAAGGTGAGGGCGCCGAAGCCGACGGACCACGTCTTGGACCCACCCCCTGGATATTTCGGGGTGTATCCAATGAGTTTTTCCCAAGGCTTGAGGTTCCCGTTGCCTCCTTTTGTAGTCCAATATTTGAAGATGTTGGACCTTCCCCCAGCTCTACTAACGCCGAACAGCTACTCCATTATCGTCGGGTTCCTTATCCGGTGTGACGAGCTTAGGATTGAGCCCACGACGGCGTTGTTTATGAATTTGTACCGGATTGGCCGGGGAAGCCATGAGAACTGTGCTGGCTACGCGGCGCTTCAGCAGTTGCCAAAGAAGAGGTCCTTCATAGATCTCCCTTCGTCCATCCACGGGTGGAAGAGTAAATTCTGCTTTGTGAAGTTGGCCGACGGGGTCTTCTTTCCTTCTCAAGGCCATAATGGGCTTTTTAACTTGCACACTCCGCCGAAGAGCGCTGAGATCGATGCTCAGGTGGAGGCGTTCCTGAAGGGTGGGCCGCGGAGCGTCAACACCTATATTACTGAGTTTAAGATTGCGGCCCTCGGGATGATGCGCTATTACATACCAGGCGATCCGGACTGTGGTTTGTGGCCGAAGATGTCTGGTTACTTTGAGCAGGCCGATGGGCCACCTATTGGGATCCCGGCCGAGGCCGAAGGTTGATAGCTTTTCTTTAATCCTTGTGTACTTGGCTTCTTTTCCTTTTGTTTCTGACTCTTTGTTTTGTATCATATCTGCAGGTTTTGAGATGAGTCGCAAGCTTTTCATGGCTCAGGCCAAGAAAATGGTTGCCAAAGAGATGGAGGCCGTTCAACAGGCCGAAGCGTCCAAGGTTTCTGGTGACGGGACCAAATCCCAAGCCGACGCGGCGAAGAAGCCAGTGGTGAAGAGGAAGAAGGCCGTTGAGGAGGGTCAGCGTACCCTTGCCGAGACGGGTCTGATACCGGCCCAGGGTGCCAAAAAGACGAAGCGGAACCCTCCGCTCCTTGATGCCGCAATGGCCGATGCGCAGGCGTCGGTTCAAGGGGAAGTTATCTCCGACGTGCAAGTTATCGAGGATCTGACTTTGAATGTCGCCTCGTCCGCTGTAGTCCCCACCAAATCTGGTGTTGTTGCCAAGGGAAGCACTCGCGCCGATCGAGATCCGGCTACCGGCCTGTATGAGGTGACGGTGCGGTACCCAACCAAGGGCGGGCTTTTTAACGAGAAGGTGTCTGGCCACGACGTCTTGTTCCAGGCCATTCCCGATGCCGACAGGGAGTACCTGCGGCGGCAGAGCAAGGATGTGCGCCTCTTCGATGGCGGTTTGGACTACGTCGTCCAGGTAAGTCCCGGCTTTTGTACTTAG